TATAAATACAAATGCAGTATAGGTACTGTAGTTAAAAAAAATAAAAATTGAAAATGATTAGAAATTACAATTATTTGAAATATACAAACGTGCAGTATATTATGTAAACACAGTGGCTACATATATATTAATCGACTGTATTTGTATTAAATAGATTTTTTGATTAATATATTAATAAAATATTTTTAAATAGTTAAAATTAGTACTATAGTTAGAATAACGTAATACACAAAATAACTTTAAAAAAAAAATTCAAAATTATATTAAAATGAAAAATTTTTTTAGAACAAAATTATACACATTTATTTATCCTACTTTAATAACAATTTATCTTATACCTACATAAAATTATTATATGTAGTGATAAACCTATGATATCAACATCTACTTGGAAAAAAATATTTACCAGCTGTTGATATAAACATTTGGAAAATAAATTACAATAATTGACAAGCACTCAAAATTGTCAAACTGTACTAATAAAGTATATTCAGTCTATAATACTCGTATTTTTAAATAATTCACGTGAAAATTAACAAATATTGAATAATGATTAATAGTTATAATGAGATTTACTAAATTTTTTTTGAAATATGTTTGTATTTATTCTATCTCATTACTATTCAATAATAATTAATAAATTAATGCAACACCCATAAAAGAATTTAAAAAAAAATAATAAAAGAAATGAACAGTTAAATATTTGACGTTTTTATTAACTTTTTTTTTTTTTAATACATAGTTTTGATAGTTGCCGAATTCAATCATGAATGATAACACCATTGATGATTAATTCTAAACGGAAATTATAGCTTGCAAAATGCATGTTACCTTGGCTGTTTGAATTTTATAACCTTTTATACAAACTTAAAGGCACATAGCATAGGAAATAACAATGTTTTTAGAACGGATATAAAACAATATGATGACAAATAACTAATGCGATGAAGCTAATTAAATTATGAAACAAATACATACAATTTTCCAAAAGCTATGTATCTATACGGCATTAATTAAAAACAAAATGAGTATAGTAAAATTAAAATTGTTTCATATAATGAGCTTTACAAAAAATTTTAGACAATAAAATTAACTCGTGTAAAATAAATGTATAATTATTATTAGTCGACTGTACAGGAAATTTTATTTTTTGATAAACATCATTATTTTTATCACTAAAATATATTCTCAAAGTTAGTATTTTGTATTGTAAATAAAATATTAAAAGGACACAAGTTTTATTTAAATATTATTATTGCACACTCGAATTATGTATATTTTTAATAGCTAACGATTATAATACAATAAAATAAAATAAATATAAATTAGGATACCTAGCTACAAAAATAAAATATATTATCTAATACTCAATTTATTCTCTCTCTCTAAAAAAAATAAGAATTTTTCATAAAAAATCTAATTTATATATATAATTCTTTAGTGTCTCTGTACAATTATTTTCACTTTTTTCATCTCATTGCTCAAACGTGCATGACTCTGTGGTTATGTCACTTATTCATATAATAGAGACAAGGTCATCGTCTCTTCTATTTTTTTATATATAGATACATAGATGATACATAAAAAGTTATCAATTTTCACTCAAAATATTTCTATTGCTTTTTAAAATTTCAAATTATATACATATTTTTGTTACATTCATATACCTATAATAAATTGAATTAAAACGTTTTGAATTTAAACCCCAAAAAGTAAACTAATCTCTAATAATTCGTCATATTTAAAATTTTTTACACAAGCTTTAAAACATTAACCATTATCGTAATATTCTATGTTTAATTTTCAAATACCATACTTCACAGTGTCTTAAATAAAAGTGTTTAGGTACTTAGAAAAATTACTTTAGGTGTAGTAAACACTAATCTACGCTAGTACAAACATGTGTATTTATATTAAATTTAAAAGTATAATGTTCTCTATTTTCTTTTATTACATTCTAACACAGTATCACACATTCACACGTAATAAAACGTGGGAACGCTAATATTATTATTGTACATCTAACAATGTATGAAAATTATTATGTGTTAATAGTGCATCATTTTCTGGCAGAATCAATGCAGTATATAATGGTTTTATCAATTTATATTAGACATTTAAAACGGTTGTCGAATAGAGTACTGAAGTAAAAAAAAAACGCAACATTATAATATTAAATAGATCCGCGATACGACACAGATAGTTATCACGAAATTTATGAAATTATAATTGTATTAGTAAAATAGTAAAATAGAATGCATACACATAACATTAAATGGGCCAAGTGTCCAAATGTGTCGCAAACCAACTGGACTTATTACTGATAATAAGGTCGTCTAAAGCAGGGATGGACAACTCAAACTTACTGATGTGTCAGTTTTCTAAACTTAAAAGTTCAGTAGTTAAGATTGTATTCAAATGATTTTTTTCTCATAATTATTTCTCAAATTATAATTTTTTTTTAACGCAGCACACGGCTTGGGTAGGTAGATTACAAGAGTAACTTAGAATAACGATAAAAAGATAAATAACGTTCGTACTTATTTGTATTATTTTGTATGTCGTATTTACTATTATACGTAATGGTCACTTTAATGTATGCATATTACGTAGGGAGTACAGTTTATAAATACTCGTACATATAACATAATAATTAATACGTATAGAAACCATAACAATGGATGCCTACACTGACACACTGCATATTTCATTTTGTCAATATAAATTACTGTATAAATCATTGTCAATATACATTATAATTATTAATGATTTATCTAGAAATCAACTAAACAAATATTATTTCAATATGGCAAGTCCAAACCGACAATATATATTTTATAACTCAAATTACTAGATAATAACTAACAAGGTATGTATTATATACATACATTTATTAAGTAAAAACATGAAATATTAGATAGTTTATTAGTTAAAATTTAAACACAATATCATTAAGAATTTGATTCTTTTCGTTTGTGAATCAGTCTATTTTTTTGTTCATTGACTTAAGACAAAACCATCGACAGGCTACAGGTATTGTAACTTTCTTTAAAAAAAATACTCCATAGTGTACTTACTTTATCAAATATTTTATTTTAATATAATAAATGTATGTAATATATATATATATGTGTGTGTGTGTGTGTGTGTGTGTGTGTGTGTGTGTGTGTGTGTGTATTGCGTTTATGAATAAAAATTTTGAAACTCTAAATAATTTATAACTAACTTAATCGTAGTTTATATGTATGAATATAATTATGCTATAGATACACCAAACATACACAATGATGGTCCATTTAGATTACATGAGTATTATTGAAAAACACAATGAATAACAGATACAATAAAATTAATCACACATAAAGCAACATAATAAAATAGCCATGTGTAATAGAATGTTTAATTCAACTACAATAAGCATTATTTTTATTATTATTATTATTATTATTATTATCATTATCATTAAATATATATATACTGTTATTATAACTGTACTTTGTGAATTTATTCTAAATTATTTGCCATAAACTTTTAACAGTTAGCCTATAGTTTATCAATAATAAAGTGCCAAATATAAAAACGTGCACATTTTTTTTAAACAGATTAATGTATTAAGTTATATTTATTTGTAAACATAGACGAATGCACCCATTTTATTAGATTGTGTTTAGCATACATATTATACAGAGTATCATAAAACCTAATGAAACCATAAGTCACCAAGTATCTATGAAGTTTTTATTTAAGTAATTATAATTTAGTTTTTTTAACCCTAATTAACACATATACGAGTATATAAAGCTACTTTTAATACAGTTTTCTATAATTATATCACTTTACAATACATTTAAATAATATTACAACTTATATCTTTACCAATCATTTCAAATTCCATACTTAAAGCCTAAAAAGTCATAAGTAGTTTGTATTGTATGTTATTATACTTTCATTGATTTTTACAAAAATTTTATTTATTATGCCTATGTTATAATTTCAGGATAATTTTTAGAATGAAGCGTTAAAAAGTGAATCATTTAATGCTTCACATTGGTTAAAAAAACATATTTTATACTTATTTATACTATTAAATTAACAATAATTAATTATTTATTAAATTTATAAAATATATAATCATATATTTTTGTGTCAATCTTTGTCAAAAAAAAAAAAAATTAATTTAAAACAAATACCTACTGAAAAATAAATAATTTATTGTTATGCTTTTTGAAACCAAACTTGAAGTGAAATTTGCATATTATAATGGCCTATTCATAGTTTTTATTATTTTTAAATATTTTAAACTTCTAAACTGTGTTCTGTTAATAATATACCATATTTATCATTAAAAAAAAGCTATGTATGATATATATATATACATGACACATTAAAATATATTATTACTTATTATCTCAATAATTATTTACCAATTGTTGTATAATTTATACATGAAATTCAGTTACAAATATGAAAGCTAGTAAAAAACACAATTAGACCCTATTAACATTCTACACTTGTTAAGTAATTGTTATTGTTTTATGGTATAAAAATGTACTTAAAAAAAAATATTGCACATCAATATACACTTTTGAATATCATACTTTTACAAAAATTTTGTAGATACATGCATAAATGATAATTAGCAAAAATACAAATCGTATATGTATAGAGTTAACTGAGAATACTAAAAACACTCATATTATTTATATTATGACTAAAAAAAAAAAAAACCAGAATAAATAAAATTGTTTGCATGATATGTGAATTTGATTATAAATTTATCGGATAATATTTCATATCTATTATATTTCATGTTTTTAAAACATAATTATTAGTTATTATTTATAAGATGTGTGTCATTTTCAAAATATTTTACATATACTTAACAACTTGTAAGCAGAAAAAAAACTTGAATTCCCATATTTGTATAAGTCTATAAACTTTTAGACTTAACTTAAATACATAAAATTAATCAATATATTGAATATTAATGTTTGACTTACTTGATTAATCCCAATTTTGTACAACGATTCATCTAAATCTGCTTTGCCCATAATTTCAGAAACACATTGTCGGTGATCTTTAATTGTGTTATTTGAATCATCAGTTTTTAAAGGAGTAGGTAGAAATGCAGCAAACTTGCGAATAAATTCAGCAATAAACATAGAAATTGGAAATCCTTGTTTATAAAACCGAATAGTGGGTAAAATATCTGCACCACGCAGCTAAAAAAAATAAAATAAAACAATACTATAATATTTGCATATTTCAAACAGTTTTCCAAAACTAAATAGTAAAATGTACTTGTTGTCTTAAAAGTGGTATATCAACAGGTTCTGGACTTGGCTTATTAGAGTTAGGGCTCAATGTAATTGATTGCAGTTTATACACAGAATGAAAAACTCTAGTAGCTGCAACATCAGTACGGTTAGTAAAACCAGCTTCATGTTGTGCAATAAAACAATGAATAAAATGTTGTCCAGTTCGCCTTAAGGTTTCAACAAGACCATCCTACAAAATTAAAATACAACATATTATAACACAAAGTAAAATTTTTACTTATTCAATTATAACACTAACCACCGCAAATCTTATTTGAACACAAGTTAATTTTCTTTTCAGTGTGGCTGCTGTACTAAGACTACCAAATGTAGCTCGTCGAATACTAGACATCCGTCTCAATGATTGAGTTCCATCTACAATGGCTAGTGTACTTGTAAGACCAGCACCTCGATTTTTGGAGAATACAGTTGAAATATCAATACTGCTTAAAAAAAAAGTAAATTTACATAATAAAATCAAACAAACTGTAATTTAACATTATTTTGCTAACTTAGATGAATCATGGAGTAGTGCTAATGCTGTCTTTGCCATACCATCACGACACATATTTATCCATCCATTTATATTATATGTAATTGGAATGGTTTCACGAAAATGAACTAGAGTGAATTCATTAGGTTTGTTACCGTTCTTTAGAATGTTTGAAAATGCTGTAATTATGTGAAAAAAACATACAAATTAGTATGTTTTTGAACGTAACTATAAGTTAATTTATTTTAAATTAAAACTAACATTTATCATTGGTTAAGTTTTGGATTTTTGCAATAAGATCTTGATCATTTGAATTAGTATCACCAGCTGTATCATCAAGAGTTCTTAATAAACCAGGACATGGTTCAGGTTTTAAATCTACCATTGATGGACTACGACCAAAACCAACAGCTCCCTTAGCTCCAACAAATAATTTTAACATGTGGTCTTCAGCACAAAACTCAGCTTCATAACTAGCAGCTGTTTCTACTTTTTCTATCTTATATTTTTCTAATGGAGTGACCACAGCGTAGTTATGATAACTTGATAACAATCGCTCATGAAGATAATTTATCCAAAAATCAAACATGCTTAATGCAGACTTTGATTTAACAACATATCCTGGATAATCTGGAATTATAATAGAACAAAGAGAATGGATGGATGGAGCTAGTTTACTGAAAAAAAAAAAAAAATAATAATAATAATAATTACGATTCAATGGATATGGTAAACAAGAAGGGATATGATATGTAATACATATTAAAATATCTTCTTAAAAATTTAAATATAAATATTATGTGCATATTAAAATTAGAAAACAATTATACCGATTAATGATTGAAGCTACAAGATTGAATGTCTCTGTATACAGTCCAACAATCAAAGCATTTAATTGATCACCAATATCACATTCTTTAAATATCTCAGTATCTGGAAATACTAAGCTAAACAAATCATCAGTATTTCCAGCACCAAGACATTTTGCAGCTCGTTTTGCTGCATCAGAATTGCTCCAAGTCCATTGTACTTTATCTTTAAATATACTATCTAAATAAAAAAAAAAAAAAAACGTACAATGCAAATGTAATAAATATAAATTAATCACATTAGATGTACTAAATTTATCACCTTTTTTAACTATTTTTGTGTGACCAAGGTGTATAATAGCAGCTAATACTGCATAAATTGCCTTGAGTTCAGTGTTTGAGAATCCAAGAATCATCAGAGCGGATTGAAGGTTTGTAAACTCTACAGCTGCTTGACTTTTATCGACTCCCTTAACAAAAATTTTAATTTTACGGCAATTTATGATATACTAACTTATATTTAAAAGTTTTTTTAATTTTTTATATTTATAATTTTATTAATTATTACACACCTTTAAGTCATCATTGATTTGATCTAAATATAATTCTTTACGAAGAGCAGGAATATTTTCTATACCAGCTAGTAAGTAATAAAATACATGAAAAGAAAATTCATTAGGAGGATGATCAATAAGCCTCCATTTGTCATAAAAATGCATTTGAATGGACATTGATGCAATTTGTCCCCCTTGATCTAAGTCAATGCTATATAAATGTACAGATCTAGTAGCATTTGGATTATTCGCAGTCGCTGCATTTCCAAAAGCTTCTAATACTGTCCACATAGCTTCAATTTTTTCAAGAGTAACCACCTAAAAGTATATTTAGAAAATTAGTAATATAAAATCAACTAAAAGCAAATTTTTTAAAACATTTAAAATACTTTAATTCACCTTATTAGGAGATACTGCAGTTTGTACAAGGTATTGTAATAGGTGTTTACATGAAGTTGATTTTCCGCTTGCTTGACATCCCATGGGAATTAAAGATTGATCACGACGTGTAGTTACAGCTGCCATGTATACAGACTGCGCCATAGCATAAACATGAGGAGGTGGTTGTTTATTGATCTTATGAAGATTTTTAATCATATGCATAACCTTAACCATTACAAAAAATATTTAAAGTACAACAATTAATTACATTTTATTTAAAGTCTTGAGTAATGTGTTTACCTTATCAGTGTATAAATTTAATGGAGATCCAGGATTAACTACTAACATTGTAGGTCCAGCATATGTATGAATAAGATTTGAAGTATATCTGCTACGTACTACATTTAAAATACTAGACTCATTTAAATAATTTAACTGTGATAAATCTTCAGTCAACTGCAATTTTACTGAATTCATCTAAAATATAAATAAATAAATGAACTATAACAAATTATTGAGTTAGGGATTATTATCAAGACAAATAGTTATCTTATTTGAGAAAAATATTTTATAAAAATTGTTGTCCACATACATACTACAAATATTATATAGTTCTCTAACTGCCTCATTTCTATACTTTAAAGACTACATACCTATTTTTGATGCTTAGAAATAACTAAACATTTAACTATTAATATTGTATTTAAATTAGCCTATAATTTGAGTAATCTTAAATTTTTAAGAAACATAACAAAAATTAATTTTTTAAGATGTTAGGTAAATTAAAATATTAATGTTTTTTCTTAATTCAGTAGAGACACTCTTAAGTAAAAAATATAAATTATAATAAAAGTTATTGATAACAAAAAATACGATAAAGTAGTCAGAACGTCAGGAAAGAAAAAATTAAGTACTTATAACTTATAACTAGAGCAAAAATTGTTAAGACATTTTATTTATATTAGTTTAAAATAACATCTGATGTGATATTTATACAAGAAACAAGACATAATAAATAAACAAAATTTTATTTTTAATTCTGTTAACTATGGATTAATATCTTTTTGTCTTTTTTATGATTTTTAAAAGATCAGATAAACTTATTTCCTTTTAGATTAAACATAAAAAAAAATTACTGCAGTACATTTAGATCGCTAAATCTCTTTATAAAATATGAATACACATAAAAATTTTACAACAAACGTAAATAATTTTATTATGCTATATAGTATATCATTAGTTTACTAAAATAATAAAATTAATTATGAAACAATTTTTTACAATACTTTTTAATTGAATTCAATACGAGCTGTTTTTGTCTTTGTCTAACATATGTGATACAACAATTTAGATATATTCTTTGTTAAACGTACTAATTGATCTAATAAAGTGATAAGATTCTAAAAACAAATTTTTAATTTTTAGTTAAGTTTACTTGAGATTGACTTTCCCAAAATATTTGATTTTATCACTTTAAATCTAAAAAAAAAAAATTTTAATTTTAATCATTGTGCTTCAATTTTTAGAGAAATTATAAACAAAAAATCAAAAATGTGGAAAAGTCAATTTCAAGTAAACTTACGACCAATTCAAATCTGTTTTCATATTTCTTATCATCATTTCACTAGATTAATAGGTACGTTTGGCAAAAAACACGTCTAATTGTCTGTGTTTCGTATGTATAAAAGACAAAAAACAGAAACCATCGATATCGAATCCGTTTTACAATGAAACTTTTTCAAAAAATAAATCGTTTTTTAGTAATTATTAAATAATTTTTAGATATTTTTAAATATTTTGACTACATTTTTTAAAAACTTTAATGACCGCTCTCTAACAAATTCTATATAATATACTAATATCAATACTCCAACTTACCTTTTCTAAGCTTTCTTCATCCACGCTATATTCTTTACCCCCAAAAACCTTGACTAATACTTTTGATGAACCGTCTGAGCTTTTTTTCCTTGTGTATTCTACAGGCGAAAATCCTTCATTATGGACTAACCAATATGCATCGGTATCGGGTGAATTTAATTCGGATGGCGAATCGTTTAATTCTGGTTCTGACTTAGAAACCTAAAATTTAAATATATGAATAAATATGCATGTTATTAATCACTACTATATGCAAATTTTTAAAAATTATGTTGATGAATTATAATACAATAATTGGAGTAAAACAAAACGTAAATAACTACTTTGGGTGGTAACATTCTCCGATAATTAAGAGAAAGTGAAGGAAAGTATTGAAAGTATTTTGAGCCATTTAGGATTATAGGGTAACTATATTTGTGATTAAATACTAGACGAATACACTTCACATATATGTAAAAGTTATATACATATTAAGGTATATTATTATACAATTAAGCGTTTATTGTCAATAATCAATGGAATTGATTTAAACAAGCAATGAACAATTTAATTAGAAACAAATGTCATATATTTATATATTATACATAAATATATATAATTATAATACTATTATTATCATAAATAATTTAATAAAACGAAAATTCATGCAATAAGAAATGCCTGAATAATAATAAATATGATTTTATTCAAGCAATTAATGAACAAAAATTATATTACTTTAATGATGAAAGAAACACGTGAGATAATAATGAATAAAAAAAACAGTGTCAGTATGTCTGGCCTTAATGGTCAATGACCGCAACTGCATCTGTTAGAGAGATAAGAAAAATCCCATAAAATTTCTTAACACAAAAATAACAATACGAATAAAAATATTCTAGGAAAGATGATATTATTATGAAAGTACTCAATATAGTTATTTCTGTCTACGTCTTAAACACGTAGAAGGTAATATCGTTAAAATCATCATTATTGAAATTAAAATATCATAATTTTTATAAAAATTTAAAAAAAAATAACTTTATCTGTGTTTTTCGGATTTTTTAATAATTTGAGTTTTAAGAAAGTTATTAATTAATATAAATATCTAACTAAACAATAAAAAAAAATTAATTATTAAAAATTTCCTTAGAAATCAAAGTATGAAAAAAAGCTTCGGGCAAAACAAAAAAACTATTCTTTAATTATAATAATTCTTAAAATAGATGAATAATGATACTTAATTTCAATAATTTAATAACAAATAATGAATTACGGAGAGAGATTTTTACTATTTTATACTTATAAGTAGGTGGAAAAAACTTAAATGATACGTCATCTTTAACACTTCTTTTTTAATAAGACGAAAGATTAATGCCTATATATATTACTTCTAGTGAAAAATTAAAAATTAATTAAATTCACATTTGTTATTATAATATTTTTGTCAGCAATATATCATACATCAACCAATATAAATATATTTACCATTATGAAAAGAAACTATAAGACAGATAAACAATAGCGACTAAAATAAAACTACTCTTCTAGTTACTAAAAGACAAAGAAAAGAATATTTCGAGGTATTTATTTTTTAATTGTTGTTAAAACTAATGTCAGTTCTCGAATGCAGATGAAACTATATATATATATACACATTTTTAACACTTTTGACCCTGAGTAAAGTATAATAATATTGTAAATAAACAAGAAACTAAAGATTAGATTACCATGTTAGTATGTATTACGAGCTTGCTTATGTAATCATTTAAACTAATATACATACACATACTACAAAATATATGCCAAAATATAAACAAAAATTAAGCAATGAAAACATGTATTAAATTATTATTTTTACAAAATTGAAAATACATTAGATTTTTTTGAGATTTATAAATGTTATCATTTTTTTCGAAATTTCGTTTCATAAACATAAAATAATAATTTTATTAGAAATGCATAATTACAAGAACAAAACATGAATAATAAATTAAGTAAATAATAAGTTATATGTATTTATATATTTAATATTAGAATAAGCAATTTATTATGAACTTAAACTAAATTATGCTTGTAATAATATGTACATTGACACAGGTAATGATGTTATAAAATTAAAATTATTTATTTATCTTTAAATGATTTGATAACAATAAAAACAGAAAATTAATTGTATAATATTTTTAAATAAAAATTATGTATGCATTATTTTAATTAATTAAATAAGTGAAAGATAGCCATCCATCAAAAAACTTCATTGAATTTATTTTTAATTATTACATATTAATTATAAATATAATGTACATAAATATTAATATATAGATTAAAGATGAAAATATAAGAACCTTTAGATTTATTTTACGAGTATTACAGTACTAATATGATTTAAGAGACAATGTAACGTTTAAACTTCAATACGTTGTTTGTTGTTGTTTTTTTTTTTATCGGTTCAGTGATTTTATATTTCAAAAAGTAGTTATACATTTAAACTAATAGAGCATTCACTCAATAAATAACTCGTTAAAAAGACAATATCTTAAAGTATACACACTTAGTAAGGGAAATGAAAAATCAGATATATACAACATAAATAATTTGTTTTTGCTTGATAATATTTTAATTACAATATGTTAAACTAATTGAAAACTGACAACTCGACAAATTAATTTACTTTAGCAGCGATTAAAAAAACTATATGGTTATTTAACACTATTTCAATAACAATAATCAAAAATTTACCTATCAATTAAAAACTTATTGACTAGGATACTAGTTATTAGTTATAACATTATGTTATAAAATAATCAATTTTAAATGTATAATAATGCAACGGCCAACGATCGCATTCAATAAGAGCATTGACGTGTAATCATGTATAGTTTGGTTTTTTAACGGTTCAATTGAACCGTATCCAATATCTTACAGATTTCATCAATAACCAAATATTTTATAATAATCTATAATTTTTTTTATAGCTAAAAAATAAAAGTCATGTATTGTGATATTTTTCACGAAAAACCCGAACACGAAAAATACTCGACGAATTTCTATATAAAGCGCGATGTTCAATTTAATGTTTATACTAAACTTACTGTAATGGAAAACAATAATGTCTATATTTAAATATATGTCTAATGAAAAAATAAATTACAATAATAAGATAACTCACACACATAAAAAATCAAAATTTAAAAAAATAATTATTTAGACTACAAATTTATTTTTACAACTAAAGACAAAAAGTAAAATATCAATTTTAATACGTTCGCCATATATAAAATATTATGAAATTATAGGATATCCACAATATTTTCAAAATTAAAAACCGGTCTAAAAAAATTATACGTAAGGATTGTATTTAAGAATTATAAATAAATTTAAGAATAATAGCGGTTTATAGTGTTTATACTATATCAAATATTGAAATGATGAACATATACAACGTGTCCAAAAACCTGTAGAGTACGGATAACTACTATTAATTGGATAATAATTTTATAAAATAAAATTAGATATATACAGACGATATAGGTAACCATGTTCGTAAAAATTGTTGATTCTTTACGAGTAAATATTAACGATAAGGTATTTGAAATATTTGAATGTCTAGGTTTGATCCTTTAACGCGATAAAACAGAAAACCAAACACGACATAATACAGTGTAAAACCGAAGAAAAAACTGGTAAATTCGCGTATTACAAAATTATACACAATACGAGTACATAGGAACACACCCGACATACACATATGCATTCAAACGTGTATGAGAAACGAGAATATATTATTATTTATTATATTATATAACATAATCTTGCCAAATGGTCAATGAGGTCAATAAATTCTTATGACGGCAGTACAATAATCATGCCGTCCAGTCCAAAACAATGCATGTGACTTTTCATTAGCATTGATGAATCCCGTTATACTAAATCGTACAAATGTAAGTAGGTGTACAATATTTAAAAGTCGACGTGGTTTGAGCTAACAAAATTGAACAACTACATAATATAACCTAATGAAGCGACAACTTCCGGAAAGCCGTTTTCGAATTTTAAATCGTTAAACACGCATAAAGAAAAAAACAAAACGAACAATCAAAACGTGCGAGCATAATTTTATATCGTAATAAATTATACAATATAATAATGTAAATGTATTTAAGAAAAATATACGTTTATTATTATGCATTTATTATGCGTACGATGGTAGAAACGTCTGAAAACATATATTTATATCGTAAAGAGTCGTTTTTATTTAACCCCGGAACGGCCGGAAATCGGTCCAGAACCAAGGAACCTGCATAATAATACAATATATAATATAATATTATAATATACCTACGACACAATTATCGCGGACACGACGGAAACAGATCGCAATAACGCCCAACCATACGTGTAGGCCACATAGGCATAACATATTATAATAACATACCTACTATATCACTTTTAATGTAGAGTCCACATGTTCTAGTTTATATAAATACCCTGCGTACACCGCTGCGGAGACATGTCGAATACGATTTGTAGTTTTCGAAAACCAGTCGTACAAATTCATACATATATAATAAATTATAATACGCTGCGTATGTCACCCTCGTTAATGATACGACAACGGTGTAATATATATATTATATATATATAATATTTTATAATATACAGGGTGAATTTTCTAACGTTTTTCACATTCCACGATCATTTTAGTTACGCGTCACAAAAAATCTGTTCTAACCGATGAGTTCGAAAACAATTGATACTAATTTTTTTACTTAAAAATCTATTTTATTATACAATTTTTGTAGCTTTAAAAAAAAAAAAATTAAAGCTTAGTCTGAAACAGATAAATCGCTTAAAACCGTCAACCTATTAGTACCGCCGAACAACGAACAAATACTGTAATTCCAACTACGTATAAACTATAGGTCGGTCAATTTTTAAGTTCAGATAAAATGGGAGTGAAAACAATATTCACCGTACACGGGTGATGTCGATACATCACCCTGTAGATACCGTACGCGTAATCGTTTGTACATAATGGTGATATGTATATACCTTGACACGTTCGGCGGACGTGGGCCGACGACACATCTTGTTGGCCGGCTGGGGCTTCCTGCTGGAGCCGCCGACCACAGCCGCCACCGTTTTCCTGGACACCGAGGGCGGGACCGGTTTCGGTCGGTTCGAAACGGCGGCCGACGGCCGGGCGGCTCTGGGGCTAT